TGGGGTTAATTCAAGTAGTCAAATTTCACCATTATATAGACTGTGGCACAAGACTCAGTACTATTATTACCCAAAATAAATTAAAAAAATAAAACCAAAATACACTCAATTACTATGTAGGTAATATTCATATTAATATTTTTTGTTACTTTGTACTTGATTTAGCTATGTAAAAATCTACAGGTAATTGGTAATGGTACGCGCTCTTAAGGCTACCTACGCTATGATTTTCGAAATGAAGGTACATGATTTATTTAAAACTATTCAATGATCAAATTACTTCTACGCAATAACTTCACAGAAAAACCTTCCAGCTTATGACCAATTGCTGATCAATATAAATAATAACCAAAGATATATTCCGACAAGGTCGATATACAATAAGTGTAATACGTGAAAACAATAAGCATAATACAGTAACTTAATATACATACCTGCATTGTCGAAATAACCAAAAAACAATTTCATAGGTATGCGCGCCTTTTTTTTCGATACTTTTAATGGCGGCAAAGGAACATATTAGTATTCAGCCAACGATCGCTAGTAACTCGGGGTCTATTTGACTGATTTTCAGCCGCTCCATGATTTGCCACTTTACCCGGTCAGCATGCGCTTTGAATACAAAACAGCCAATATTTGCAGGGGATTTGAAATTTCATTTTCGTCGCACAATAATGTGCTTACGTTTCGAATACATATTGCTTCTCAGTCAGAATTATTTTTAAATCGGGGCTGGTTCATGTCTTTATTATAAAAGAAATAATAATTACAAAAGTAAGTACGTGTTAGAGACATGCTGCAACTATATTAGTACCTAGTATAGTTGTAGCACGAATGGGTCGGCTCGGCCGGGGAAGGTCAACGCTCTCACAGAATACCAACGTGAAATAGCAGCTTAACGCTGTTGTATTTCGTATGGGGAATATAGAGAACCGGAGACCTCTTTTACTGGAAACGAGGCTTTTCCATCTTGTTCCTTACGGGTGGTAGTCGAGGATAGATGTAGATGTCTATGGGTCACGGCAACTACTTTCCATTAGGTGGACTGTGTGCTCGTTTGTCACTCTTATCCTATATAAAAAGTTAATGTCTTATCGTTGGCACTAGGGCGTTATTATGGGCATGATTGTGTATTAACATAATGTAAAAACAAACAACACTCATAAAGTGATTTTAATGAAATCTTTTATATTAGGTACTATAACATTTCATCATACAATATGATTCTATTATATCTTTATTTAATTATATATTTAGTTACAAAATCCACATATTATTATGGTTTAAGAGTAAGAAACTTTTCTTTCCATTCTATCATAATACGTAGCATTTCGGAAAATTAAAATTTACTTATTGTATTGCATGCCTTAAGCGCAAAGCTTGTTCTGCTAGGACCTAAAAATTAAGATTCCAACGTTTTGTCGTATTAAACCGTATCTAGCAATCATATTATACATAGTATAAATGACATAAAAAGCAACATTTTCAGAAAGATAAATGATTGTTGAACTTATTAATATTATTTTTATATAATTTAAAAAATAACCTTTAATATGATTTAAAAGTCAATTTTTTACTATTTTCAATAAACTCCCTCTTTTTTTAAATTGTTTGAAAAATAAAATGTAATTCTCAAAGAAGCATTTTGAAAAACATCAAACTCTAAACATGTCACATTATTTTGCCATTAAAGAGAAAATAGATAATCAAAATTGTTTCCTAAAACTCAGAAGAAGCAACTGAAAGGAATCTAATTTATATTGAAAATAGGCACGATCGGAATCAATCTTACATTTTACTTGCTTTGTTCTGAAATACTAATTTAAAAAGCCCACCAATAAAGTACAACCAACATTCAATGGCTGATGTGACTGTATGCTCTCTGAGGCACGGAGGTGATACAACGCTTTCTGACTAATCTTAGGCTGTGACTCCGAGCCACTACTGAGAATTTCTTGATAGATAAAGCTAACTTGAAATGATTTGGGACCGACCTGGGATCACCAGTCACACTTACGACCATCTGACTAACGGGGCAGTCAGGAATATATGATATAAATTTCGTACGAACTAATGTTATTGGAATGGGTTGACTGCCAGTAAATTTTAAAGGCCATTAAGTTTGGCCATTGTAAGCCTTAGCTCTATAAATATAGGGGTTCTTTTCTGCTGAAGAAGGTGACTAGATAATTAATAGTTTTACCATCGAGAGCAGTTCTGTTGTGCTCCGTGTCCAATTTCAAAAATATGGATAACCATTATAATAACATATTTTGGGACATTACTTCCATTGTTCCAGAGGTGTCAACGCCTCTGAAGCCCTCTTTAATTAAGCTTTTTGTTTAAAGCATTTCTAAACGAGGTAGAGCCCTAAACGCCATTAATAGCAAAGCCGTGCTGTCTAAACGTGGTAGAGCCACTCTATTTAAAAGGTAGAGAACGCTGTCTTAACGTGGTAGAACCATGCTGGAACATTATTATGGTTGCGGCTCAACCGGGGGAAAAACAACGCTCTCACTAACTAGCTTGAAATAGCTGCTTAATGCTGCTATATTCTTATGGAGAGTGTAGAGTAGTAGAGAACCAAGGCATCTACATTTTGATTCTTAATCAAGGATAGATATATGATGACGATAGATATATACAGTTACCATCGAGTAGCCTGAGTGCTCATTTTTTACCTTTCTTCTATAAAAAAAATGCCTGCAGGCGTCCATGCGCTTCAGTAATTCCTCCAGACCGAATTTTGATCACGGCGGTTCTTCTAAACGTTAACAACATCTATGCACAACAAGATAATAGTATCCCAGTGTATATGCAAGCACGGGTGCACTCTTTATTATCTCACTCTCATAGTCCGATGGGACGCAAATCCGACACGAGATCAGGCGCAAGACCTACGACTTTACGAGGCACGGGGTTGAAATACTATCAACTTCTTGACACCGGACTGATACGGAAAATTTCTTGAAATAAAAACTCGATAACTGATTTTTAGTTTGGCTCGACCCAAAATATTCGAACCTAATGTTAAGCAGCCACGTTCACGACTACTAGATCAACGAGGCAGTAAATAATGTGCTTCAGCTGTTAGCCTTACGCTATAGCCTAAGCAATCAATATCAATAGCCCTCTACTGTCTCAAAGGATTTTAGTACAGGGTTAAAGACCGGTTACACAGCCTGCTCTTAAAAGATTTCTCATATGCAGACTTCGTCACGATGTTTTCCTTAACCGCCAAAAACGATCGATAACATCACACACTAGTGTGGATGAAATGAAGTGCCACTGATCTAGCGGCTTAAATGACAATTAATGAAAAGGAAATATATTAAGAGCCGTGGTAGCGTAGGGGCTAAGTGCTCGCTGTAAATTTTACAGTACGCGAGCAACTCGGGTTCGATCCCCGGTGGCACCAATGAAATTGTTAATTGCAATTTTAAGTACTGATTTACCGCGTGCTCGGCGGTGAAGGAAGATATCGTGAGAAAACTTGCATGTCTAAGAAATAAGAGAAAATATTTCGATACCATGTTCGCCAACACACATTGGGCGGCGGACATTTCCTAGGCCTAAAAGCTCTATCACAAAGTGTGAGAGGACTGTGCCTAGCAATGGGACGGAACGTACCTATATAGGCCGTAACTTTAACTTTATAATTTAATAGAAATGACTGGTTGTAAAGATTTAATAAATGTTATGAACTTTTAAAAACATAATTATGTAAACCAGACGGTGACGGGGGGCAGTGAAAGTCAAATCGATCCTACAACGGGAAAAGCACATTTTTAGGGTTCCGTATCACAAAGGAAAAAACGGAACCCTTCTAGGATCACTTTGTTGTCCGTCTGTCTGTCTGTCAAGACCCTTTTTCTCAGGAACACGTAGAGGTATCAAGATCAATCTGAAATTCATATCAAATACTCAAGTCTACTGTCCCTTGGAGCTGTGAAAAAATCAAATTTCTAAGCCAACGCAATCAAAAGATACAGCCGTTTATGTCGCAAATTTTCGACATTCGCAAGGGAATCAAACCTACAGAGTACTTCCCGTGAACTCAGAATCTCAAAATTTGGTACGAAGCAACGTATAAAGCAACGTATATAGCACAGATAAAGGAAAATTGCGAATAGGATAAATTTTTAGTTACATCATATAATAAAAATATTTTTAATAATTTTAAACTTATATACCTACGGATTTGTTCGGAACCCTTGGTGCGCGAGTCCGACTCGCGCTTGGCCGGTTTTTTTTAATTAATTTAATAAGTGTGATAAACAAGTGCACAGTCACTTGATAGTAAGTGAATGCTGTGGCCGATAGACATCTACATCTGCCCTCGATTAAGAATCAAAATGCAGACGTCTAAATTCAGAATTTTGTACGTGGTAGAGCCATACTGCAGCTATATTAATTGTATAGTTGTAACACGAATGGGTCGGCTCGACCGGGGAAGGACCAAGTTCTCGCAGAATACCAGCGTAAAATAGCGGCTTAATGCTGCTGTGTTTCGTATGGTGAGTTTAGAGAACCGGAGACCCTGTTTACTGGAAAAGAGGCATTCCATCTTAGTCCTCACGACAGACAACACATCTGCATTTTGAAACGTCGTAAACGAGGATAGATGTAGATGTCTATGGATCACAGCAACCACTTACCATCAGGTGGACTGTAGGCTCGCTTGTCACTCTTATCCTATGAAAAAAAGACTCGTTGTCAGCCCTGAGGACTAAGATCGAATGCCTCATTTCCAGTAAAATGAGTCTCCGGTTCTCTACACTCACCATAGGAAACACAGAAGCATTAAGGTGCTATTTTACGTTTGTATTCTGTGAGAACGCGTTTCTTCCCCGATCGAGCCGACCCCTAAGTGCTACAAACTTAATACAGCTGCAGCATGGCTCTACCACATATCATGTCCAGCCCACCATGGATTTTTACAGGATGTTGATAACGCAGACAAAATATTATCATATCTAACATTAAAAAAATTTGTTTACCTGTCATTCTTCCATCTTGATGATCTTGTGTCAATTGTAGCGGCGCTTGTGCTACTTCCATGGTTTTCAAAGTTTTTGTCACTAATAACATTTATTTTAATGCAATGCCTTCACTGCATTTTTTAATTTTAAAAATTACAAATGTTTTCACTATGTTGTGTACCTACTTACTTTATAGGCTTTATCGTAAACTAGTGGAAGTTGAAAAAAACTAATGGAATTTTGATTTTTGAAAAGCAAAAACTTTAACTTCGTTACCTTGATGATTAAAAATCAAATTCTATTGAATAATGTATAAAATTATTCTGATTATTAAAAATCATTGCAAAATAGATAATAATAACGTTTAATTTTTTTCCTCACAAATTATAATTAAATAAGGAATTCTAAGATCATTTTTTTTTTTATAAAGAACCTAATTAATTTCGGAAAAAACGTGTACAGATTAAATAAAAAACGAGTGTGAGACACTGGCTGTTAACAAATTGGCACGAGTCGCGCGCGTTACGCCGCGGCCGGAGCACTTTTGACGCGGCCTCACTTGCTATGAGCTTAGTTTGAAGGCGGGGCGGCTCCGCCCCGTCGCTTTTCGCGTCTGACTCTACCTCAGTGCATGTTGGCTTGGACTTTGCGAATATCTGTACCCAATAAATACATAATAGTTTGATATTGGCTTATTTGAACAAACATTCACAGAACAATCTAGCTTTAAATATCGATAATGCTTTACTTTATTTTTATTATGTATCTAACGGTAAAGATCAATACGGCGAGACTAAATTATTTCGAAATAAGTATGTATTTAAATCTATTATATAGTTTATTTTTAACTTCCGTGATTCCAAATTTATACTTACTTGTCCTTTACAGTAAGTAACGTCTACGGGACCTCTACAGTTTGCAGAGTTGGCCAAACATTTAAAGGGTAACTTCACACAAACCCCCTTTCGAAGGGAGGCTTCGATTTTGGGTCAGCTGTTAAGCGTCCGTTTTAAGCTTTAATTTGTGGCATTACGGCTCTGCGCTGGCTCGCCATTTAGAATAATGACGCCGTATATTTTACGAAGCGAAATTGTACGGATATTACTCTTTTCAATTAGTGTCGCGGATAAAAATGTCAAGTTTTATTTAATAGATTATCTTAAAATTTTGTTTATTTATATTATGTGATAAAATTTAATTAAATAATAATAACTTTTTTATACTTCGTCAAGTAAAAACATTTCAATAAAACAAAACATATAATTTGCTTCTTCCTGAAGAAAATCAAATTAACAACCGTTTTAACCTTATATATTTATATAAATTTATATAGGTACCTACTCTTTATTGAATTTATAAATATCTTTTTATAAGGTACGTGAGGGTAAAATGGTCACCTTAAACTTTGCCGCCCTATAAAACTAAATCTACTTAGAAGAAGGACAGAGACAAAAACACAAAGTCGTATACTAATATACTTATTAAAAAAATGGGAAACAAGCTTTGACAATGATTAGGAATACTTCGAAAAATCCACTTAAAAAACTAACTACACTGCACAATACTAAAATCTACTAAAACATTCACTATAATGTCAACTGTCAAAAAGGCATCGATAAAGCACAGCGCCCTCTTGACCCTTTATTATTTGATAGACTGATGAAGAGCTACCGTATCACAGGGCCATCTATGCAATCTAGGCTGTAGATTTTCAGTAATAAGAAAGTGACCAACCGGGTGGTCATATTACCCTCACGTACGTGGTATTATATTTTTTAATTTTAAAGTTATTTAAGATGCTGAAAACCTTTAGCTATTTTATCAAATTATTATAATCAACGTAACCTTAACACAGTTAAAATTACAGCCTATATAGCTCCTACTGTTGAACATAGTTTCCTCTCATCACTGAGATGAGTTTAGGCCCAGAAGTGTCCGCCACACTACCCCAATGCGTGTTCGCAAACTTCACATATCTTCGAAATCTTTATTTTATTTCTCAGACATGCAAATTTTCTCACGGTGTTAGGTACAATTCAACTCCGAACACGTCAAAAAAAATTGCCATTAATAATTTAATTGGTGCCGGCGGGGATCGAACCGGGTCGCTCGCAATCCGGCAGTCGCTTAACCTCTGAGCTACCACGTACGAATATAGTCTTACCAATTTAAAATATACTCAAACAATAATGTTCATATTATGCTAAAAATATATTTTGCATTCATCTCGTTATATAGGAACTGTCGCCACAATCACGCTTTTGTTCCGAGAAATCCTTTTTTTATTCAATAAGGGTGACAAACGAGCACACAGTCCACTTGATGGTAAGTGGATACTGTGACCCATAGAAAATTACATCTATCCTCAATTACGAATCAAAATGCAGATGCATTGTCACCCCTAAGGACTAAAATGGAATGCCTCGTTTCCAGTAAAATGGGTCTCCGGTTCTCTACACTCACCACACGAAACACAGAAGAATTAACTGATATTTTACGCTGGTATTTTGTGAGAGCGTGGTCCTTCTCCGGTCGAGCCGACCCATTCATGCCGCAACCATAATAGTATAGCTGCAGCTTGGCTCTACCATGTATAAACCTATTCATAATGTTCCCAAACCTATCTATAATTATCCCGATAGTTCTTGCTTCAACAATTAATCGCTAAGACTCTTAATTTATAGAACTAGTGATACGAAATAGTTTTGTAACACTTTAAAATTTGAGTACCTTCCTTAATAAATAGTCTTTTTTATTAAGATTTATAAAATGAAATAAAAATAAAAAGTTTCTTATTGGATAATACTTACTGAAGGCCATGCACGAATGATAACCTTACAATTTCACTGCTTTATTCACACAAAGTACCTACCCACTTACATACATACATACCTACTTATAAAAAGTAGTGATTATACTCTTTTGCTTACTTACGTTCTCGTTTTTCGTTGTTCGTTTGATAATAATAGTGAAAATATATAATAACATAATATAATTTTCCTACTGTGATAAATAAATTCATATTGAAGATGATATTGCATATTTGTAAACTAAAATACGCAATAATAACTTAAATACGAAATATATTAACTTTGGCCTCTCAATATATGTACGAGAATTTAATGTATGTACACTAAAACAAAAATAGTTTTATTAAAAATAGTGATGTACATTCTGTAAATACTAGGAATAAGCACAAGTTAGTTATACCAGTTACTCGACTCCAAAGGGTCAGTAAATCCTTCATGGGGCAATGTATACGCTTTTACAACAAAGTCCCAGAAAATATGCAGAACTTTTCTATCAAAAGGTTTAAATTATTTATTGAGCAAAAATTGTCTAGTAAGGGTTATTATACTACTATTATACTAAAGAGTACATGACTTATAATAACCCCTGGGTATGAGGTGATCACTACCATGCTGTTTCTAAATGTTTTCATAACAATTGTACAACATATTGTATGGTGAATTGTGCTTTCTTAAAAAAATGTTCCGCCGGGTTTCTTGCTGGTTCTTCCCAGGACAGTGGTTTCTTTGCAAACCAGTGGTAAGAGTAAAAAATTACTTTCGAAAATAAGTATTATATACTGTAATCTATATTGAATAAAAATTATTCTATTCTATTCTATTTATTACAGCATTACACCTCCCGCTGTGCTTTAAGAATATTTTCCTTCTAATAGGAACGGTTTCATTGTACATTTTAATGAATAAGGGACAAGATAGACCTCCCAACCAAACTAGACCTTAATCCCATGCCTTAAACAATATCGTGTTATTTATTACTAACTAAAGAATGAGGATATCCGCAGTAGAACCAGAGTGACCGACATAGCCCAACGGATTAGTAAGCTGAAGTGGCAGTGGGCCGGCCATATAGCTCGAAGAACCGACAACCGATGGGGAAGAAAGGTTCTCGAGTGGCAGCCTCGTACCGGTAGGCGAAGTGTAGGGCGTCCCCCCACGAGATGGAGTGACGACCTGGTAAGACATGCAGGAAGTCGATGGATGCAGGTGGCTCAGGACCGTGTTTTGTGGCATTCTTTGGGGGAGGCCTATGTTCAGCAGTGGACTTGTGAAGGGCTGTAATGATGATGATGATGATGATGATGAAAGATTAAAATTGTAGTTGTCGCGGACTTTGTTTGTGAATATAATTATTAAAGTTCATATAATTATTATTGAATTGTACCTTCTTTATTAGCGTAGTGGAGAAATTTAGTACGGTATTAAAAAACAAAAACGTCATGCTTTTTGTAACGATTCACCGCTGGGGCTTTTCTATAGAATAATGGTGACAAACGAACACACAGTCCACCTGATGGTAAGTGGATGCTGCAGCCCGTAGACATCTACATTTATCCTCAATTAAGAACCAAAATATAGATGCGTTGTCACCCCTGAGGGCTGAAATTGAATGCCTCGTTTCCAGTAAAAAGTGTCTCCGCTTCTCTTCACTCACCATACGAAACACAGCAGTAATAAGCTGCTATTTTACGCTGGTATTCTGTAAGAGCGTGGTACTACCCCGGTCTAGCCAACCCATTCGTGCTACAACCACAATATAGCTGCAGCATGACTCTACCACGTTAAAAAGGGGCTGAATTATTATACTACTATTATTTAACTTACTTAATGTAAAATATAAAATGAAAGAAGAATTATGTTTCGTACAGAAGTTTCACTTAGTATATGTAGATATACACAATTAGATACACGCACTCAATTAGGTCTAGAGCACGTACTAGATAAATTATCGTATTACATTGATTCCCTTGTAAATTGATTTACAAAATACTATGTATGAATTTTATGTTAGTAGGTACCTACATAAAACTGAGTTTCTATTTTTGTAATACAATGACGTTTTATATCTCGTCCAATAAGAACAAGCGAGCGTTATGAAGGGCGTGGCGAATTTCGCGAGTGCCATCAAAGAGGAAAAGTCAACAATTTTCCCGCGCCACCGTTCTCCAATCAGAAATTTTGGCGGGCTGAATGACATTTTACGGGCATTACGTATTTTATAACACATTGTTATCTATGTGACGAAGTACTATCTTTAATTATAATATTA